AAACACCCCCCAACCCCCCCCAAACCTCCTCAGTCCCTGGGGATCATCCACTGGGGCAGCCCTGCTCCCCCCAACCGCGGTCCCCACTGGGAGGTGTGGGTCCTAGGAGCCCCCAAACACCCCAAAACACTCCCCAAACACACTCCCAAACCTCCTCAGTCCCTGCGGGATCATCCACGTGCGGGGACCCCTGCCCCCCAACCGCGTGTCCCACGGAGAGGGTGGGTCCCCAGAGCCCCAAAACACCCCAAAAACACCCCCAAAAACACCCCTAAAACACCCCCAAAAACCTCCCAGTCCCTGCGGGATCATCCACGTCAGGGAGCCCCTGCCCCCCAACCGCGTGTCCCACGGAGAGGGTGGGTCCCCAGAGCCCCAAAACATCCAAAAACACCCCAAAAACACCCCCAAACCCACCCAGAACACCCCAAACCCACCCAGAACACCCCAACCCAGTGACCCCAGTATCCCCATTATCCCCAGTTCTGGAGTGGCAGAGGGGCTTCGAGACCATTCCCAGTGCTCCCAGTGACCCCAGTATCCCCATTATCCCCAGTGCTGGAGTGGCAGAGGGGGTTGGAGGCCATTCCCAGTGCTCCCAGTGATCCCAGTTATCCCATTATCCCAGTTCTGGAGTGGCAGAGGGGTTCTGTGTCCATTCCCAGTGCTCCCAGTAACCCCAGTTATCCCATTATCCCAGTTCTGGAGTGGCAGAGGGGTTTCGAGGCCAGGCTGTGCCTGTTCCCAGTGCTCCCAGTAACCCCAGTAACCCCAGTTATCCTGTTCCCAGTGCTGGAGTGGCAGAGGGTTCGAGCCAGGCTGCTGGCCATTCAGTGCCAGTGCTCCCAGTGACCCCAGTTATCCCATTATCCCAGTTCTGGAGTGGCAGAGGGGTTTCGAGGCCAGGCTGGCCCCGCTCCCAGTGCTCCCAGTGCTCCCAGTGCTCCCAGTAACCCCAGTTTCCCTGTTCCCAGTTCTGGAGTGGCAGAGGGGTTTCGAGGCCAGGCTGGCCCCGCTCCCAGTGCTCCCAGTAACCCCAGTTCCCCTGTTCCCAGTGCTGGAGTGGCAGAGGGGTTTTGAGGCCCGGCTGGCCCCGCTCCTGGCGGGTCCCAGTGCTCCCAGTAACCCCAGTTATCCCATTATCCCAGTCCTGGAGTGGCAGAGGGGTTTCGAGGCCAGGCTGGCCCCGCTCCCAGTGCTCCCAGTAACCCCAGTTATCCCATTATCCCAGTGCTGGAGTGGCAGAGGGGCTCCGAGGCCATTCCCAGTGCTCCCAGTGCTCCCAGTAACCCCAGTTATCCCATTATCCCAGTCCTGGAGTGGCAGAGGGGCTTCGAGGCCAGGCTGTGGCCATTCCCAGTGCTCCCAGTAACCCCAGTTATGCTGTTCCCAGTTCTGGAGTGGCAGAGGGGCTTCGAGGCCAGGCTGGCCCCGCTCCCAGTGCTCCCAGTAACCCCAGTTATCCCATTATCCCAGTGCTGGAGTGGCAGAGGGGCTTCGAGGCCAGGCTGGCCCCGCTCCTGGCGGGTCCCAGTGCTCCCAGTAACCCCAGTTATCCCCTGTATCCCAGTGCTGGAGTGGCAGAGGGGTTTCGAGGCCAGGCTGGCCCCGCTCCTGGCGGGTCCCGGGGCCGTTCCCGACGAGGAAGCCCAAAGGTTGGGCCGGAAGGACCCCGAGCAGGAGCTCGAGAAGTTCGTGAGCGCCAACACCCAGGAGCTCAGTGCAGCTGTGCCCCTCAGCGGCAAGCAGTTCAAGGTTTGGGGGATTTTGGGGTTATCGGGGATTTCCAGGTTTGCTGGGGATTTTGGGGTCAGTTTTGAGGTGATTTTGGGGGTTTGGGCAGCCAGGGTCATTTGGGGTCACAGGGGACCCCCAGGAGCTGGGCAAGGACAGGGGGCTGTGCCCCCTCAGCGGCAAAAAGTTCAAGGTTTGGGGGGATTTTGGGGGATTTTGGGGGGTTTGGGAAGGCCCAGGGGTCATTTGGGGTCACAGGGGACCCCCAGGAGCTGGGCAAGGACAAGTGGCTGTGCCCCCTCAGCGGCAAGAAGTTCAAGGTTTGGGGGGATTTTGGGGGATTTTAGGGTTTATTTCGGGGATTTTGGGAGTCATTTGGGGATTTTGGGGTTGTTTGGGGAGGTCATTTGGGGTCACAGGGGACCCCAGGAGCTGGGCAAGGACAAGTGGCTGTGCCCCCTCAGCGGCAAGAAGTTCAAGGTTTGGGGGGATTTTGGGGGATTTTGGGTTTATTTCAGGGGTTTTGGGGTCATCTGGGGGGTTTTGGGGTTTATTTGGAGGTTCATTTGGGGTCTGGGGACCCCAGGAGCTGGGCAAGGACAAGTGGCTGTGCCCCCTCAGCGGCAAGAAGTTCCAAGGTTTGGGGTCAGATTTGGGTTTGGGGGTTGTTTGGGGGGTTGGGATCTATTAGTGGGGGTTTGGGGTCATTGGGGGGTTTAGGGTCATTTGGCGCAGGAGCTTGGGGTCATTTAGGGGAATCTTGGGGTCACTTAGGGGAATCTCTGGGAGAGTGCTAGGGAGAGAGGGGCTGCGACCCCCTCAGTGGGAACAACTTAGGGTCATTTGGGGGGACATTTGGGGGGTCATTGGGACAGGAGGGGACACTTCAGGTCCCCCAATTCCCCCAATGTCCCCAATGCTCCCAATGTCCCCAATGCTCCCTGGTGCCTCCCAATGTCCCCAATGCCCCCAATGTCCCCTGAATGTCCCCACTGCCCCTGCAATGCCCCCAATGTCCCCAATGTCCTTCAATGCCCCCTGGTGTCCCCAATGTCCTCTGGTGTCCCCAATGTCCCTAATGTGCCCCCAATGTCCCCAATGCCCCCTAATGTCTCCAATGTCCCCTGGTGTCCCAATGCCCCAATGTCCCCAATGTCCCCAATGCCCCCTGATGTCCCCAATGTCCCCTGGTGTCCCCAATGCCCCCAATGTCCCCACAATGTCCCCAATGCCCCCTGGTGTCCCCAATGCCCCCAATGTCCCTCGAATGTCCCCAATGCCCCCCAATGCCCCCTGGTGTCCCCAATGTCCCTCCAGTGTCCCCAATGTCCCCGTCCTAATGTCCCCAATGCCCCCTGATGTGTCCCCAAATGCCCCCAATGCCCCTCTGGTGTCCCCAAATGCCCCCCAATGTCCCCAATGTCCCCCCTGTCTGCAGGGCCCCGAGTTCGTCCGCAAGCACATCTTCAACAAGCACTCGGACAAGATGAGCGCGGTCAGGAAGGAGGTTTTGTTCTTCAACAACTTCCTGATGGACCCCAAGCGCCCAGCGCTGCCCGAGGGCAAAGGGGGGCCCCCCCCGGGCCCCAACGCAGGTCAGACACCCCAGAAACACCCCAAAACAACCCAAAACCACCCCCTAGAACCCCAAAACCCCCTGAGACCCCAAAACTCCCCTGTCAACCCCTGGCGCTGCCCGAGGGCAAAGGGGGGCCCCCCCCGGGCCCCAACGCAGGTCAGGCACCCCAGAAACACCCCAAAAACATCCCAGAACATCCCAAAAACACCACCAAAAACAGCCCCAAAAACAGCCCCAAAAACCACCCCAAAACACCACCAGAAACATCACAAAAAACACCCCAAAAACACCCCCAAAAACACCCCCAAAAACAGCCCCAAAACCACCCCCAGAACTACCCCCAAAAGAACCCCCAAAATCACCCCAAAACAACCCAAAAACCACCCTAAAAACAGCCCCAAAAACCACCCCCAAAACCACCCTAAAACACCCCAGAAACACCGCCAAAACCACCCCAAAAACATCCCAAAACACCCCAAAAAACAACCAAAAACCACCCCAAAAACAACCCAAAAACCAGGCCAAAAACAGCCCCAAAAACACCCCAAAACCACCCCCAAAACCACTCCAAAACCATCCCCAAAAACACGCCCAAAACTACCCCAAAAAAAACCCCAGAAACATCCCAAAACAACCCAAAAACCACCCCAAAAACATCCCAAAACACCCCAAAAAACACCCCCAAAACCACCCCCAAAAACCATCCCAAAACCACCCCAAAACTACCCCAAAAACAACCCCAAAACACCCCAAAAACACCCCCAGAAACATCCCAAAACCACCCCCAAAACCAACCCAAAAATCACCCCAAAAACATCCCAAAAACACTCCCAAAACCACCCCCAAAACCACTCCCAAAACGACCCCAAAAACATCCCCAAAATCCAAAAACTCCCAAAACACTCTCAAAACTCTAAACCCCCAAATCCTTAAGCTCCCCAAACTAACCAGTCCAACCAAAATCTCCCCTGGGTCCCCTAGGCCCCCCCATGAACCGGGGCCCCATCACCCCGCTGTAGCCCAGTCTGGCCTAGGGGGCTGCATGCCCAGAGCTCCACAGGTTGTACCCTGGCACCCCGGCCCCATGCTGGGCTACGGAGGTAGGGGGCTGGGGGCTTTTGGGGGCTCTGAGAGGTTTGAGAACTCTAGAGGTTTAGAGGCTCTGGGAGGTTTAAGGGAGACTGGGATGGGGTTTAGGGGGTCTGGGAGGGGTTTTGGGGGGTTTAGGGGGTCTGGGGGGTTTAGGGGGTCTGGGGGAGGTTTGGGGGATTTAGGGGGCTCTGGGGGTTTGGGGGTCTGGGAGGGGTTTAGGGAGCTGGGAGGGGGTTTAGGGGGGCTCTGGAGGAGTTTGGAGGGGAGTCTAGGGGGCTGGGAGGGGGTTTAGAGGCCTGGGAGGGAGTTTAGGGGGCTCTGGGAGGGGGTTTAGGGGGAGCCTGGGGAGTTTAGGGGGCTTGGGGAGTCTGAGGGAGCTCTGGAGGAGTTTGGGGGGTTTGGGGGGCTCTGGGGAGTTAGGGTGTTGGGAGGGGGCTTTGGGGGAGTTTAGGGGGCTCTGGGAGTTAGGGGGCTCTGGGAGGGGTTTGGGGCTCTGGGGGGTTTAGGGTCTGGGGGAGCAGGAGTTTAGGGGGCTTTAGGGGGCTCTGGGGGGTTTAGGGGGCTCTGGGGAGTTTAGGGGCTCTGGGAGAGGCTTTTGGGAGGCCTGGGGGGTTTAGGGGAGCTCTGGGAGGGGGGTTTAGGGGGCTCTGGGGGTTTAGGGGGTCTGGGGGAGTTTGGGGGCTGGAGGGGGTTTGGGGGGTCTGGGGACTGGGGGGTTTAGGGGATTTGGGAGGGGGTTTAGGGGGCTGGGGGTCTTAGGGGTTTGGGAGGAAGGGCTCTGGGAGGTGAGCCTGGGGGGTTTAGGGCGCTGGGGGGGTTTAGGTGGGGCGTCTAGGGAGGAGGGTTTAGGGGGCTCTGGGGGGAGTTTAGGGGTCTGGGAGGGTTTAGGGAGGCTGGGGTAAGGGGTTTGGGGGAGTTTAGGGGCGCTGGGGGTTTGGGGGCTGGGGGGAAGTTATGGGGACTCTGGGGGGTTTAGGGGAGTTCTGGGAGGGGGTTTGGGGGTCCTGGGAAGGGGTGGAGGATTTGGGGGATCCTGGAGGGTCCCAGGGGAAGATTTTGGGGATGGAAGGAGGAGGGTTGGAGGAGAAAAGGGGGAATTTGGGGGAGGGGGTCTCATGGAGGGTCTGGGGGATTTGGGGTCAGGGGAGGGGTTTGGGGGTCTTGGGGGGCTCAAGGTGGGGGCCCTGGGAGGATTTCAGGTCTGGGGGCTCATGGGGGGATTTGGGGTCCAGAAAGGGTGTTTGGGGTCTGGGAGGTCCTGGGAGGGAATTTGGGGTCTGGGGGGAATTTGGGGTCGGGGGGCTCATGGTGGGTTTGGGGGCTCATGGGGGATTTGGGGTCCAGGGAGGATTTGGGGTCTTGGGGGGCTCATGGGGAGGATTTGGGGATCTTGGGGGCTCATGGGGGGATTTGGGTTCCTGGTGGGAGGGGTTGGGTAATTCTGGATGTTGGAGGGTGGGGGCGGATCCTGCCCCTCGGGAGTTTTGGGGGTCCCCAACCTCCTCGACCCTCCCTTCTGTCCCTCCCCAGGGTCCCACCCCTACCCCCGGGCCCTACGGGGGTCGCGGCAGCTACGAAACCTTCCGGGGCAGGGGGGGCAGGGGGTACCTGAACAAACCCCGCTCCAGGTGAGGGGGACCCGAAAATGGGAGGGGACTCAAAATGGGGGAGGGGACCTCGAAAATGGGGAGGGGAGCCAAAAATGGGGAGGGGGCTCAAAATGGGGGAGGGGAACCCAAAATGGGGAGGAGCCCAAAACGGGGGAACCCCAAAAATGGGGAGAGGCCCAAAAATGGGAGGGGAGCCAAAAATGGGGGAGCCCAAAAATGGGGGAGCCCAAAAATGAGGAGGGGGAGCCCAAAATGGGAGGGGAGCTCAAAATGGGGAGGGGGAGCTCAAAAATGGGGGAAACCCCAAAATGGGGAGGGGAGCCCAAAGTGGGGAGGGGGAGCCCAAAATGGGGAGGAGCCCAAAAATGGGGAGGGGGTCCCTTTGGTTCCTGGGGTCTCCAGCCCCTGATCCCCGTGCCCCCAGGTGGGTTTGGGGTCATTTGGGGTCATTTTGGGTTAGGGTGTTTGGGGGAGTCCTGGGTGGTCTCCAGCCCCCTGACCCCTGTGCCCCAGGTGGATTTGGGGTGATTTTGGGGTTGGGGGGTCCTGGGGGTCTCAGCCCCTGACTCCCCTGTGCCCCAGGATGGTGCAGGTGGATTTGGGGTCATTTTGGGGTTGGGGAGGGGTCAGTTTGGGTTGGGGGTGTTTCGGGGAGTCCCTTTGGGGTCTTCCAGCCCCCCTGTGCCCCCAGGTGGATTTGGGGTCAGGGGTGATTTTTGGGGCTGGGGGTCCCTTTGGGGTCTCAGCCCCCTGACCCCCTGTGCTCCCAGGATGGTGCAGGTGGATTTGGGGTCATTTTGGGGTCAGGGGTCATTTTGGGGTCGGGGGTCCCTTTGGGGTCTCAGCCCCCTGACCCCCTGACCCCCTGCCCCCAGGATGGATGCGGGGACCCTCGGGCCATCGTCGAGTACCGGGATTTGGACGCCCTGAGGGACGTCGATTTCTTCTGAGCCCCTCTCCCACCACCCCAAAAATCCCCCTCTCCCTCCCCCAGCACCCCCAGCCCCCTTTGATACGGCTCGACCTCCTCCCCCCAATTTGTACGACCCCAAAGCCCCAAAACCCCCAATAAAGACCCCCCGGGGAGCAACCACGACCCTCATGGGGAGTTTGGGGAGTCCTGGGGTCTCTGGGGTGGGGGAGGGGTTTGGGGGGAGCCCTCCTCCCAATGACGTCACAGGGGGCGGGGCAACGACTCGATCGTTTATTGGCTCTTGGTTTTTTTGTTAATCTCGGAGGCGACCAATCAGCGGCCGCGAGCAGCAGGTCCGGCCGCGCCCATTGGCTGCGGGCTCGGCCAATAGGGAAGCAGCAAGAACGCCATTCGCTGTTGCCCGGCAACGGCAGTGACGTCACAGCGGGGCGCGTGTCTCAGCGCGGCCAATCAGCGGCGAGGCCGCGCGATTCCCATTGGTCGGGGTTGGACCAATGGGGGGAGGGCTGGGCAGGCCACGCCCCTTCTTAAAGGGGCAAGGGCGGTTTTGGGGGGGGGGGGGTCCGCACGTCCCAGTAAATCCCAGTTTGCCCACTCGGAGTGTCCCAGTAAATCCCAGAGACCCCTCCTGGAGTGTCCCAGTCCATCCCAGTTTGTCCCAGAGACCCCTCCCGGTTTGTCCCAGTCCATCCCAGTTTGTCCCAGTCCCTTCCCAGTTCCCCTTTGCCCCCCCCAGTGCGTTCCAGTCACCCCTCCCAGTGCCCCCCTGGTTTGTCCCAGTCCCTCCCAGTTCCCTCCCAGTCCATCCCAGTCCCATCCCAGTCCATCCCAGTGCCCCCAATCCTTCACCCACCCCCTCCCATTTTATCCCAGTCCTTCCCAGTACCCCCCAGTCCCCTCCCAGTTCATCCTAAAGACTAATCCCAGTTCCCTTCCAGTTCATCCCAGTCCCGTCCCAGTCCATCCCAGTGCCCCTAATCCTCCACCCACCCCCTCCCTTTTTGTCCCAGTCCCTCCCAGTCCCCTCCCAGTTCATCCCAGTCCCTCCCAGTCCCCCCCCCATGGATTTTGGGGCTCCCTCGGGGTCAGATTTTGGGGTGTTTTTGGGTGATTTTGGGGTGAATTTGGGTGATTTTGGGGTGAATTTAGGTGATTTTGGGGTGAATTGGGGTGATTTTGGGGTGTTTTTGGGTGATTTTGGGGTGAATTGGGGTGATTTTGGGGTGTATTTTGGGTGATTTTGGGGTGATTTTGGGTGATTTTGGGGTGTTTTTGGGGTGATTTTGGGGTGATTTTGGGTGATTTTGGGGTGAATTTGGGTGATTTTGGGTCTCTACAGGGCCATGGCCGCCCAGCCCAGGATGAGCAGGGACCCCCCCAGGGGGGCTCCCCGGTTGAGTTTGGGGTGAATTGGGGTGATTTTGGGGTGTTTTGGGTGATTTTGGGGTGATTTTGGGGTGATTTTGGGTGATTTTGGGGTGTTTTTGGGTGATTTTGGGTGATTTTGGGGTGGTTTTGGGGTGATTTTGGGTGATTTTGGGTGATTTTGGGGTGTTTTTGGGTGTTTTTGGGTCTCTACAGGGCCATGGCTGCCCAGCCCAGGATGAGCAGGGACCCCTCCCCCCCCCATTGATTTTGGGGTGAATTGGGGTGTTTTTGGGTGATTTTGGGATGATTTTGGGGTGATTTTGGGGTGATTTGGGGTGTTTTTGGGTGATTTTGGGTGTTTTTGGGGTGTTTTTGGGTGTTTTTGGGGTCTCTACAGGGCCATGGCCGCCCAGCCCAGGATGAGCAGGGTCCCCCCCAGGGGGGCTCCCCGGTTGAGTTTGGGGTGAATTGGGGTGGTTTTGGGGTAATTTTGGGTGATTTTGGGGTGTTTTGGGGTGTTTTGGGGTGTTTTGGGTGATTTTGGGTAATTTTGGGGTGATTTTGGGTGTTTTTGGGGTGTTTTTGGGGTGATTTTGGGTGATTTTGGGTCCCTAGAGCGCCATGGCCGCCCAGCCCAGGATGAGCAGGGTCCCCCCCAGGGGCCCCCGGTTGAGTTTGGGGTCCCCGCTGAGGCCGTGGAAGTAAAAAGGGACACAGAAGAGCCCGAGCCCCGCCAGGAACAGAGAGCCCGCCTGGGGGGGGAAACTGGGATGAACTGGGGGAACTGGGAGGGACTGGGGAACTGGGATGGACTGGGGAACTGGGAGAGTTCGCCTGGGGAAACTGGGATGAACTGGGAACTGGAGGACTGGGGAGAGACTGGGATGAACTGGGGAACTGAGGGACTGATGGACTGGGGAACTGGGAGGGACTGGGGGAACTGGGAGGGACTGGGGGAACTGGGATGGACTGGGGGAACTGGGAGAGCCCGCCTGGGGGGGGAAACTGGGATGAACTGGGGGAACTGGGAGGGACTGGGGGAACTGGGAGGGACTGGGGGAACTGGGAGGGACTGGGGAACTGGGAGGGACTGGGAGGGATGGGGGAACTGGGACTGACTGGGATGGATGGGAGAGACTGGGATGGACTGGGGAACTGGGACAGACTGGGAGGGGATGGGGGAACTGGGGGCACTGGGAGGGACACTGGGATGGACTGGGATGAACTGGGAGGGGACAGGAATGAACTGGGATGGGGAGAGAAACTGGGATGGGGAGGGATTTGGGGGTCCTGGGGGATTTGGGGGTCCTGGGAGGGTTTGGGGGTTCTTGGGGAGGGCAAAGGAGGGACTGGGGGGGATTTTGGGGAGGGGTCGAACCAGGTGGGGGTGCCTGGCAATGGGGGGATTTTGGGGTATTTTGGGTTATTTTGGGGATATTTTGGGTTATTTTTGGGGTATTTTTGGGGGTTCTCACCAGGTGGGGGTGCTGGCAATGGGGGGATTTTGGGGGGTATTTTGGGGTATTTTGGGGGTATTTTGGGGTATTTTTGGGGGTTTTCACCAGGTGGGGGTGCCGGCAATGGGGGTCGCCAGAAGGGCCAAACTGTGCAGGAGGTGGAACCGATTGGCGGTTCTCGTAGAGCTGGGGAAAGGGGTCAAAGGGGGTCAGAGAGGGGTCTGGGGGTCCCTGGGGTTTTGGGGCTGGGACCCCCTCAAAATGTCACCTCTTTCTGGTACTCGTCGTGGTCGCTCCGGCGCAGCCCTGGGGGGAGAAAGGGGGAGGGGTCACTGGGGGCTTCAGGGACCTCCCCCAGGGAGTGGAGACCTTCAGACCCCCAACCCTCCCCGGGACCCTCAGTGCCCCCTCCCGACCCCCTTGACCAGCGACCCCCAACACCAGCCTGACCCCCGCGCCCCCGGCCGCACCGTGCGCCCCGTAGGCCGCGGCCGCCATGGCCCCTGCTCTGCTGAGCGCCCCGAGCCGCGCCCAGGCCGCCGCCATCGCTGCCCTTCACTTCCGGATCCCGCTTCCGCTTCCGCTCCCGCCGCGCGCTTCCGCTTCCGTCGTTCCTAGTCTCTGATTGGTGGAGAGCGGCCGTCCATCAAAGCGGGGGAGGACCAATCGGAGCGCGAGGAGGAGGTCCCGCCTCCCGGTGGGGCGCCCTGGTGGCGGAAAAGGGAGGACGGGGGGTTTTGGGGGATTTTGGGGGATTTTGGGGGATTTTGGGGATTTGGGAGGATTTGGGGGATTTTGGGGGATTTTGAGGGGATTTTGGGAGGATTTGGGGGATTTGGGGGATTTTGGGGGATTTTGGGGAGATTTGGGAGGATTTGGGGGATTTGGGGGATTTTGGGGAGGATTTGGGGGATTTGGGGGATTTTGGGGGATTTGGGGGATTTTGGGGGATTGGGGGATTTTGGGGGATTTTGGGAGGATTTGGGGGATTTTGGGGGGATTTTGGGGGATTTGGGGGGTTGAGGGATCTTGGGGGATTTTGGGGATTTAGGGGAGATTTGGAGGATTTTGAGGGGACTTTGGAGGATTTTGGGGGATTTTGGGGAGCATTTGGGGATTTGGGGAGGGATTTTGGGGATTTGGGGGATTTTGGGGGTTGAGGGATTTGGGGGATTTTGGGGGGGATTTGGGGGATTTGGGGGATTTTGGGGGACTTTTTGGGGGTTTTGAGGTGGGGCCGGTCCGGGGGAGAATGGAGGGGATGAGGATGAAGATGATGAGGATGATGAAGGCCATGGGGGGGTTGGGAGAGGACGATGAAGGGGGTGGAGAGGATGATGAAGATGAGGATGGTGATGAAGATGGTGAGGATGATGAAGGTGGGGATGATGATGAGGAAGGTGAGGATGATGATGATGAAAATGATGGGGGGGACCAGGGGATGATGAGGATGATGATGAAGTCAGTGAAGATGAAGATGAAGAAGATGATGAAGATGATGATGAAGATGATGATGATGGTGATGTGGGGATGATGAGGATGAGGAGGAGGAGAAGGATGAAGAGAGAGGGGATGAAGATGAATATGAAGATGAAGATGATGGGGGCTCAGTCTGGGAGGGGATGATGAAGATGAAGATGATGATGTGGGGATGATGAGGATGATGAGGAGGAGGAGGATGAAGAGAGGGGGAATGAGGATGAGGATGAAGATGAAGATGAAGATGATGATGGTAATGGGGGGGATTTGGATGCTGAAGATGATGATGAAGATGATGAAGATGAAGGGGGGGTTGATGACTGATGGGCCTGGGGGAGCTGAGGGGGTGATGAAGATGAAGGTGATGATGAAGATGATGCTGGGGGGCACTGGGGGATGAAGATGATGAAGATGAAGAAGATGAGGAGGAGGAGGATGGGCCTGGGGGGGTTGAAGATGATGAGGATGAAGAGGGTGATGAAGAAGATGATGAAGGGGATGAAGGGGATGAAGATGAGGATGAGGATGGGCCTGGGGGGAGGGGGCTGGGGAGGGTGATGAGGACGATGAAGATGAAGATGAAGATGAAGATGAAGATGAAGATGAAGATGAAGATGAAGATGAAGATGATGATGAAGATGATGAGATGATGAAGCTGAGGCCGGGCCGGGGGATGGAGATGATGATGATGATGAAGATGATGCTGATGAAGCTGAGGCCGGGGGTCGGGGAGTTGTTCCTGGGGGATGATGATGAAGATGAGGATGATGAAGCTGAGGCCAGGGGGTTCAGGGGCCGTTCCCGGGGGTGATGATGAAGATGAGGATGATGAAGCTGAGGCCGGGCCGGGGGATGGAGATGATGATGATGATGATGCTGATGAAGATGAGGCCGGAGGTCGGAGGGGGCTGTTGCTGGAGATGATGATGAGGATGATGATGAGGATGAAGATGATGATGATGATGAAGATGAAGATGAGGATGCTGAGGCAGGGCCGGGGGGATGATGATGAGGATGAGGATGAGGATGAAGATGAGGATGAAGATGATGAGCTGAGGCCGGGGTCGGGGGCTGTTCCCGGCCCGGCCCCGCCCCCCGGAGGCGGCTCCTGGCGGAGGGACCCGCGGCCGCTCCTGTTCGGCTCCGTCGGCTCCCGCCATGGCCCCCTGCCCCCCGCCCGCGGCCCCCGGTGAGAGACCCCTCGACCCCCCGGCCAGGGCAGAGCCCGGGGGCGGATCGGGGGCTCCGGAGGGGGAGGGGGATGGGGGGATGGATGGGGCGGGGGAGGGGAGGCCTGCCCACCCTGGGGGCGGGGGGGCGGATGGGGAGGGGAGGGGTCGCTGGAGCCGCCTGGGACCCCGGGTGATGGGAGGGGGTTTTGGGGGCTCTGAGGCTTGAGGGGACCCTCTGGACCCCAAATTGAGGGTGGGGGTGGGGAGGTGAGAACGGGCAGAAATGGGGAGGGGCCCGGATTTGGGGAGGGGCTCTGATTTGGGGGTGGGGGTGATGCTGTAACTGGGGCAGGAGCCGCCTGGCCCGGGGGGAAATTTGGGGTCCTGCAGCTCTGAGAGCCCCCTGGGACCCCCCGGAGCTCCTGAGACCCCTCGGACCCCCGACCCCCCAAGGCCTCGTCCCCCTCCCTCCCCCCGGGATGCCTGGAACCCTGCTGCCAGGGCGACGTTCCCGGCCCGTTCCCATGGCAACGGAGGGGACCCACATCTCCCCCTCCCCCCCAAAAAAACTCCCGGGGCGGGGCCGGCGGGGGTCCTGGGGGCGGGGGTGGAATTTGAGGGGTTTTGGGGGTCTAATTTGGAGTCCGGGGGGATGGGGGAGGTTTTGGGATGCAGTGGGGGGCCGGGACCCCCACTGATGGTTTTTCTTTACTTCTTCTTCTTCTTCCCTCTCTCCCCCAACCCCCCACCCTCTGTTCTTCGCCCCTCCCCATTCCCATCATCCTCGGTGCGGCCCTGACCCCCCCATCCCCCACTCAAACTCCCCCATCCTCTGTGACCCCCATAACCCCCTGACTCCCCCCCATAACCCCCCCTCGTCTCTCCGTGCCCCTCCCTCCCACCTCTCCCTCTGACCCCCCCATCCTCCCTCAAACCCCCCAAACTCCCCTTCCCTCCCAAAAACCTCCCACCCCTCCTGACCCCCTCTAACACCCCTTGTGACTCCCCCCAACTCTGTAACCCCCTGACCCTCCTCCTACTCAAACCCCTCGTGCCTCCTTTCCACCCATAAACCCCCATAACTCCCATAAACCCCCATAAACCCCACCCCATCACAACTCCCATAACCCCCTGTGAACCCCCACCCCATCACAACCCCGTGACTCCATTATCTCCCAAAATCCTCTCACAACCCCCACAACCCCCTATAACCCCCCATAAACCCCCTGACCCCCACCCCATCACAACCCCATAACCAGCCCTATGACCCCTCAAAATCCTCCATAACCCCCATAACCTCCCCATAACCCCCATAACCAACCCCCCATAACCCCCCATAACCCCCCATGATCCCCCAAACTCCTCCATAACCCCCATAACCCCCCATAAACCCCCTATGACCCCCCCATTATCCCCCCTTATGTCCCCCAAAATCCTCCATAACCCCCTCATAACCCCCATTACCCCCCATAACCCCCATTACCCCCATAACCCCCCATTACCCCCTCATAATCCTCCATAACCCCCCTATGACCCCCACATTATCCCCCCAAAATCTCTCCCACAACCTCCCATGACCCCCATTATCACCCACACAACAATCCCCCATAACCTCCCTGTGACCCCCTCTCTCATGATCTCCTCCCATAACCCCCCATCCCCATCACAACCCCCCCATGACCCCCCCATGACCCCCCTAACCCCATCATCATCTCCCCTGTGACCCCCCCATTACTCCCATAAACCCTCACCCCCATCACAACCTCCGTTATCCCATGACCATTACCCCCAAAATCTATCCCCCTCTCTATTTTCCTCCCACAGCTCCCCTACCGCACTCCCCCTCCCTCACCCCATAACCCCTCCCTGCCCCCTCCTCTCCCCCCATCCCCCTCACCCCCTCCCCACCCCACCATGCCGCCCCCTCTCCCCGGCTCCGGCCCTGCCGCCGCTGCTGCTGCTGCTGCTCCTGGGCCGCCTCTCCCCGTCCCTCCCCGACCCCCAACCCCCTCCCCATCCCCCCAACCCCCAGGGGGCGGGGACCCCCCCGACCCCCCGATTCCCGGTGGTGCCCACCCAGTACGGGCGCCTGCGGGGGGCTCGGCGGGACCTGAGCAACGAACTGCTGGGCCCGGTCCAGGCCTTCCTGGGGGTCCCCTACGCGGCCCCTGGCTCGGGCCTCGCCGCTGGGCGCTCCTCGAGGCCCCCGCTCGCCTGGGGGTCCGCGACGCCACCGCCTGCGCCCGCCTGCCCCCCAGAACCTGCGGGCCGGGCCCTCGCTGATGCTGCCCCTCTGGCTCAGCGACAACATCGAGGCCGCCGGCGCCTACGTGGCGGCCCAGAGCGAGGACTGCCTGTACCTCAACCTCTACGTGCCCACCGAGGATGGTACGGGGGGGGAAAGGGATGCATCTGGGGGGCACCTGGGGGCACCTGGGCACACCTGGGGACACCTGGGGATGGGTATGGATGGGTATGGATACAGGGGGATACAGGTATGGATGGGTATGGACACGGCCCAGAGCGAGGACTGCCTGTACCTCAACCTCTACGTGCCCACCGAGGATGGTACGGGGGCTGGGGGCACCTGGGGGACTGGGCACACCTGGGGCACCTAGGGATGACAGGTATGGATGGGTATGGACACAGGTATGGACATGGGTATGGACACGGCCCAGAGCGAGGACTGCCTGTACCTCAACCTCTACGTGCCCACCGAGGACGGTACGGGGGGCTGGGGGCACACCTGGGGGGGTGGGACACACCTGGGGGCACCTGGGGACAGGTACAGATGGGTATGGACACAGGTATGGATAGAGGGGGACATGGGTATGGACACGGCCCAGAGCGAGGACTGCCTGTACCTCAACCTCTACGTGCCCACCGAGGATGGTACGGGGGCTGGGGGCACACCTGGGGGTGGGACACACCTGGGGACACCTGGGGACAGGTACAGATGGGAATGGATAGAGGGGACACAGATATGGACATGGGTATGGACACGGCCCAGAGCGAGGACTGCCTGTACCTCAACCTCTACGTGCCCACCGAGGACGGTACGGGGGCTGGGGGCACCTGGGGGGCACCTGGGGGCACCTGGGGGGGTGGGACACACCTGGGGATGGGTATGGACACAGATATGGACATGGGTATGGATGGGTATGGACACGGCCCAGAGCGAGGACTGCCTGTACCTCAACCTCTACGTGCCCACCGAGGACGGTATGGAGTGAGGGGGGCACCTGGGGCACACCTGGGGGCACCTGGGGGCACCTGGGGACAGGTATGGATAGAGGGGGACACGGGTATGGACACGGCCCAGAGCGAGGACTGCCTGTACCTCAACCTCTACGTGCCCACCGAGGACGGTATGGGGGGCTGGGGGGCACCTGGGGGCACCTGGGTACACCTGGGTACACCTGGGGACAGGTACAGATGGGTATGGATACAGGGGGATACAGGTATGGACACGGCCCAGAGCGAGGACTGCCTGTACCTCAACCTCTACGTGCCCACCGAGGACGGCACGGGGAGGATGGGGCACCTGGGGGCACCTGGGCACACCTGGGGACACCTGGGGACAGGTACAGATGGGTACAGATGGGTATGGATGGGTATGGACACAGATATGGACATGGGTATGGACACGGCCCAGAGCGAGGACTGCCTGTACCTCAACCTCTACGTGCCCACCGAGGATGGTACGGGGTGAGGGCACACCTGGGGGCTGGGACACACCTGGGGACACCTGGGGACAGGTACAGATGGGAATGGATAGAGGGGACACAGATATGGACATGGGTATGGACATGGGTATGGACACGGCCCAGAGCGAGGACTGCCTGTGCCTCAACCTCTACGTGCCCACCGAGGACGGTACGGGGTGAGGGGGGCACCTGGGGGGGCACCTGGGTACACCTGGGGACAGGTAGGGATGGGTATGGATGGGTATGGATAGAGGGGGACACACGGGGACAGAGCGAGGACTGCCTGTACCTCAACCTCTACGTGCCCACCGAGGATGGTACGGGGGGCTGGGGGCACCTGGGGGGGTGGGACACACCTGGGCACACCTGGGGACAGGTGGGGACACCTGGGGATGGGTATGGACACAGATATGGACATGGGTATGGACACGGCCCAGAGCGAGGACTGCCTGTACCTCAACCTCTACGTGCCCACCGAGGATGGTACGGGGGGCTGGGGGCACCTGGGGGGCACCTGGAGGGGTGGGACACACCTGGGTACACCTGGGGACAGGTGGGGACACCTGGGGATGGGTATGGACACAGATATGGACACGGGTATGGACATGGCCCAGAGCGAGGACTGCCTGTACCTCAACCTCTACGTGCCCACCGAGGACGGTATGGGGGGGGAAAGGGATGAGGGGCACCTGGGGCACCTGCAGCACACCTGGGGACAGGTACAGATGGGTATGGATGGGTATGGATAGAGGGGGATACAGGTATGGATGGGTATGGATGGGTATGGACATGGGTATGGACACGGCCCAGAGCGAGGACTGCCTGTACCTCAACCTCTACGTGCCCACCGAGGATGGTATGGAGTGAGGGGGGCACCTGGGGGGCACCTGGGGGGGTGGGACACACCTGGGGGCACCTGGGGGTGGGTATGGACAGGGGGGACACAGATATGGACATGGGAATGGACACGGCCCAGAGCGAGGACTGCCTGTACCTCAACCTCTACGTGCCCACCGAGGATGGTATGGAGTGAGGGGGGCACACCTGGGGGCACCTGGGGGGATGGGACACACCTGGGGACAGGTACAGATGGGTATGGATGGGTATGGATAGAGGGGGATACAGGTATGGATGGGTATGGATGGGTATGGATGGGTATGGACACAGATATGGACATGGGTATGGACATGGGTATGGACACGGCCCAGAGCGAGGACTGCCTGTACCTCAACCTCTACGTGCCCACCGAGGATGGCATGCAGGGTGAGGGGGCACCTGGGGGGCACCTGGGCACACCTGGGGACAGGTGGGGACAGGTATGGATAGAGGGGGACATGGGTATGGACACGGCCCAGAGCGAGGACTGCCTGTACCTCAACCTCTACGTGCCCACCGAGGATGGTACGGGGTGAGGGGGGCACCTGGGGGGCACCTGGGCACACCTGGGGACAGGTACAGATGGGAATGGACATGGGTATGGACACGGCCCAGAGCGAGGACTGCCTGTACCTCAACCTCTACGTGCCCACCGAGGATGGTACGGGGTGAGGGGGCACCTGGGGGCACCTGGGAGTGTGGACACACCTGGGGGCACCTGGGGTAGGGTATGGACAGGGGGGACACAGATATGGACATGGGTATGGACACGGCCCAGAGCGAGGACTGCCTGTACCTCAACCTCTACGTGCCCACCGAGGACGGTACAGGGGGCTGGGGGCACCTGGGGGCCTGGGGCACCTTGGCACACCTGGGGACAGGTGAGGGGTGGGGACACACCTGGACACACCTGGGCACACCTGGGCACACCTGGGCACAGGTGAGGGGGGGTCAAAGTGGGGGGAGGGGCTCCCGGTGTCGTTATGGGCAGCAGGAGGTGGGCGTGGCCAGGTGAGATGGGCGTGGCCAGGTGAGATGGGCGTGGCCTGTGAAAGGGGCGTGGCCAGTTGAGATGGGCGTGGCCAAGTGAGGTGGGCGTGACCCGGTCGGGTGGGCGTGGCCAGGTGATGTGGGTGTGGCCAGGTGAGGTGGGCGTGGCCCACTCAGGTGGGTGTGGTCAGGTGAGATGGGCGTGGCCCAGGTGAGGTGGGCGTGGTCCGATCAGGTGGGCGTGGCCAGGTGAGGGAAGAATCGGGCTAAGAAAGGAGGAAATCGGGCAAATTGGAGCAAAATTGGGAATTTGGGGGGAAAAAAGGAGGAAATGGGGCAAAAAGGGTGGGGGGGGAGGGGCGGCCCCGCCCCCAAATCCTGGTCCTGGCAGAGGTGGCAGAGAAAAAGGGGGGAATTTGGGCAAATTTGGGCGAGAAAATGGGAAAATGGGGCTGAAAAAGAGGGGAATTAAAATGGGGCAAAATCCCCCCAAATTGGGCAAAAAGCGGCGGGAAAATGGGAAATGGGGGGAGGGGCCAGGCCAGGCCTCTCCCTTCCCCCCCCCCGGGCCCAAACTGGGGGAAAAAGGGGCAGAAATGGGAAAATCCCTCTGGAAAAGGAGGAAATTGGGATTTGGGGCAAAAAGGGACAGATTTGGGCAAATCGGGGAGGGGAGGAAGCCCTCCCCACCGGAGCCACAGCCCCGCCCCCGCGCCCAGGGCCCCGCCCCCACGCGCTGCTGGCCCCGCCTCCATCCCAGTGTGCGTCCCAGTGTCCCCAGTTCCATCCCAGTTCCATCCCAGTTCCATCCCAGTATTCCCAGTTCCATCCCAGTTCCATTCCCAGTTCCATCCCAGTTCCATCCCAGTATCCCCAGTGTCCATCCCCCGTTCCATCCCAGTATCCCCAGTTCCATCCCAGTTCCATCTCCAGTTCCATCCCAGTATCCCCAGTGTCCATCCCAGTTCCATCCCAGTTCCCTCCCAGTTCCATCCCAGTTCCATCCCAGTTCCATCCCAGTATCCCCAGTTCCATCCCATCCCAGTGTCCCCAGTTCCATCCCAGTTCCATCCCAGTATCCCCAGTTCCATCCCAGTGTGCGTCCCAGTGTCCCCAGTTCCATCCCAGTATTCCCAGTTCCATCCCAGTTCCATCCCAGTATCCCCAGTGTCCATCCCATCCCATCCCATCCCATCCCATCCCATCCCATCCCATCCCATCCCAGTTCCATCCCAGTTCCATCCCGGTTCCATCCCAGTTCCATCCCAGTGTTCATCCCAGTGTCCATCCCAGTGTCCCCAGTTCCATCCCAGTTCCATCCCAGTGTCCCCAGTTCCATCCCAGTATCCCCAGTTCCATCCCAGTTCCATCCCAGTTCCATCCCAGTGTCCCCAGTTCCATCCCAGTTCCATCCCAGTGTCCATCCCAGTGTCCATCCCAGTTCCATCCCAGTATCCCCAGTTCCATCCCAGTGTCCTCAGTTCCATCCCAGTTCCCTCCCAGTATTCCCAGTTCCATCCCAACTCCATCCCAGTTCCATCCCAGTTCCATCTCAGTGTCCCCAGTTCCATCCCAGTTCCATCCCAGTATTCCCAGTGTCCATCCCAGTATTCCCAGTGTCCATCCCATCCCATCCCAGTATTCCCAGTTCCATCCCAGTTCCATCCCAGTGTCCCCAGTTCCATCCCAGTATCCCAGTTCCATCCCAGTGTCCATCCCAGTTCCATCCCAGTGTCCATCCCAGTTCCATCCCAGTTCCATCCCAGTGTCCTCAGTTCCATCCCAGTTCCCTCCCAGTATTCCCAGTTCCATCCCAATTCCATCCCAGTTCCATCCCAGTTCCATCCCAACTCCATCCCAGTGTCCCCAGTTCATCCCAGTGTCCATCCCAGTGTCCATCCCAGTTCCATCCCAGTTCCATCCCAGTATTCCCAATTCCATCCCAGTTCCATCCCAGTTCCATCCCCAGTGTCCATCCCAGTTGCCTCCCAGTATCCCAGTTCCATCCCAGTTCCATCCCAGTTCCATCCCAGTTCCATCCCAGTGTGCGTCCCAGTGTCCCCAGTTCCATCCCAGTGTCCATCCCAGTTCCATCCCAGTTCCATCCCAGTATTCCCAGTTCCATCCCAATTCCGTCCCAGTGTCCATCCCAGTGTCCCCAGTTCCATCCCCAGTTCCATCCCAGTGTCCCCAGTTCCATCCCAGTTCCCTCCCAGTATTCCCAGTTCCATCCCAACTCCATCCCAGTTCCATCCCAACTCCATCCCAGTTCCATCCCATCCCATCCCAGTATCCCCAGTTCATCCCAGTGTCCATCCCAGTTCCATCCCAGTTCCCTTCCAGTTCATCCCAGTGTCCATCCCAGTTCCATCCCAGTTCCATCCCAGTTCCATCCCAGTTCCATCCCAGTATTCCCAGTGTCCATCCCATCCCATTCCATCCCATCCCAGTATTCCCAGTGTCCATCCCAGTTCCATCCCAATTCCATCCCAGTGTCCATCCCAATTCCCTCCCAGTATTCCCAGTGTCCATCCCAGTGTCCATCCCATCCCATCCAGGAGTCCCCTCCCCCTCCCCTCCCCCGGCCCCATTTTTGGGCCCTCCCCCCAAATTTCCAGGCCCCTCCCCTCTCCCCCCTCCCCCCATTCCCCTTTTTCGGGGCCTCTCCTGACCCCAAAACCCCCTCAATTTTTCCCCAACAGGAACCAGGGGGTTGGGAAAATTCTCAATTTTTTCAGGGCTTTTGTGACCCTTCTTTTTTTTTTGTGCCCCTCCCCTTCCCCCAAAACCCCTCCCCACCCCCCACCTCCCCAGCCCCATTTTGGCTCCTTTTGGCCCCAAATTTTTCCTCCTTCTCTCCCCCTGTCCAGGTTTGCTCGGCAAAGCGCGAGGACGGCGCGGCCGGCGGCCCCCGGACTCAGGTAGTTTTGCTGCATGTTTTGGGGCAAAATCCCCCTTTTGGGCTTTTGTGGGGCTGTTTTTGGTTCTTTCTCTTCTTCCCCTCCCCTTAAATTTCTTTTTTTGGTTTCTTTTGGGTTTTTTGTGGGTTTTTCCTTCCCTCCTTCCTCTCCTTTCTTTCCCCTCCCCTTTTTCTTTCCCTTTCTGAGGGGGTCTCTCCCCTCCCCCTCTTCTCCCCCTCCCCCTTCTTTTTTGGTCCTCTTTTCAATTTTTCCCACTCTTTTTTTTTTTCTGGGGTTTTTCTTTTTTCTTTTTGGTTGTTTTGGTTGTTTTTTGTGGTCTCTTCTTTCTTGGGGGTTTTGGGGAGTTGTCTTTTTTTGGTCTTTTTGGTGTTTTGGTGCTTTTTTGGTTCTTCTTTTTGGTGGCTCTTTTTGGTGTTTTTTGGTTTTTTTTGGATGCCCCTCCCCTTTCCTTCCCCCTCCCCATCCCCCATATTTGGGGCCCCCTTTGCTCATTATCCCCAATGGGAAACCCCAGTTGCCATGGAAACAGCCCAAAAGGGGACACCTCTCCCTCCCTCAGTGACCCTCCTCAAATCCCCCCTGCCCAAATCCCACCTCTGACCTCTGACCCCGCTGTCACCCCCAAAAAGTGACACTGGGGGAGGGTCTGTGGGTGGGGTCTAAAGGGTCCCCAATCATGGGGTGGGGTCCCAGGTCCCAATCATGGGGGGGGGTCTAAAGGGTCCCAATCATGGGGGAGGAGGGGTCTAAAGGGCCCCCAATCATGGGGGGAGGGGGTCCTAAAGGGGTCCCCCAATCATGGGGGGAGGGGGTCCTAAAGGGGTCCCCAATCATGGGGAGGAGGGGGTCCCTAAAGGGGTCCCCCAATCATGGGGGAGGAGGGGGTCCTAAAGGGTCCCCCAATCATGGGGGTCCCCAACTCTGGGATGTCCTCAGGGGTGCCCCCCCCCAAAGAGGTGTCCCCAACCCTACAGGGGGTCCCCATGGGGGGGTCCCAGGGATGACCCCAAAGACCCCCCCCAAGGGGTCCCAGGGTTGTCCCCAACACCGGGGGGGGACCCCAAAGACCCCCCCAGGGGGGTCCCAGGGTTGTCCCCAACACCGGGGGACCCAAAGACCCGAGTCCAGGTGTCCCCAACACCAGGATGACCCCAAAGACCCCCCCAAGGGGTCCCAGGGTTGTCCCCAACACCGGGGGGGACCCCAAAGACCCCCCCTGTGGTGCCCCCCAAACCCAGAGTGGGGTCCCTCTTTCCCTCCCCTTCTTCCTTCTCCCAAACCCCACCCCCAAAAAAAAACCCTGACCCCCTGACCCTGCCCCCTGACCCCCTGACTCTCTGACCTGACCCCCTGACCCCTCTGGCCATCTTTGCCCCCAGACATCAGGGACAGCGGGAAGAAGCCGGTGATGCTTTTCCTGCACGGAGGATCCTACATGGAGGGCACGGGGAACATGTTCGATGGCAGCGTCCTGGCGGCCTACGGGAACGTCATCGTGGTCACCATGAACTACAGGCTGGGGGTCCTGGGTGAGGGGGGGACACAAATCCCATGGGAACGTCATGGTGGTCACCATGAACTACAGGCTGGGGTCCTGGGTGAGGGCACTGGGGGACACTGGGGACACAAATCCCATGGGAACGTCATGGTGGTCACCATGAACTACAGGCTGGGGGTCCTGGGTGAGGGGGACACTGGGGGAGACACAAATCCCATGGGAACGTCATCGTGGTCACCATGAACTACAGGCTGGGGGTCCTGGGTGAGGGGGACAGGGGGGGACACAAACTCGTATGGGAACGTCATTGTGGTCACCATGAACTACAGGCTGGGGTCCTGGGTGAGGGGACACTGAGGGGACAGGGGGACACAAATCCCATGGGAACGTCATCGTGGTCACCATGAACTACAGGCTGGGGGTCCTGGGTGAGGGGGGGGACAGGGGGGGACACAAATCCTATGGGAATGTCATGGTGGTCACCATGAACTACAGGCTGGGGGTCCTGGGTGAGGGGGGGACACAAATCCCATGGGAACGTCATGGTGGTCACCATGAACTACAGGCTGGGGTCCTGGGTGAGGGGGACAGGGGGGACAGGGAAATCCCATAGGAATGTCATGCTGTGGTCACCATGAACTACAGGCTGGGGGTCCTGGGTGAGGGGGACAGGGGGACAGGGGGACACAAATCCCATGGGAACGTCATCGTGGTCACCATGAACTACAGGCTGGGGGTCCTGGGTGAGGGGGACAGGGGGGACAGGGGGACACTGGGAGGGACACAAATCCCATGGGAACGTCATCGTGGTCACCATGAACTACAGGCTGGGGTCCTGGGTGAGGGGGGACACAAATCCCATGGGAACGGCATTGTGGTCACCATGAACTACCAGGCTGGGGGTCCTGGGTGAGGGGGACAGGGGACAGGGGGACACAAATCCCATGGGAACGTCATGGTGGTCACCATGAACTACAGGCTGGGGGTCCTGGGTGAGGGGGACAGGGGGACACTGAGGGATCCCATGGGAACGTCATGGTGGTCACCATGAACTACAGGCTGGGGGTCCTGGGTGAGGGGGACAGGGGGGGACACAAATCCTACGGGAACGTCATCGTGGTCACCATGAACTACAGGCTGGGGTCCTGGGTGAGGGGGGACACAAATCCCATGGGAACGTCATCGTGGTCACCATGAACTACAGGCTGGGGGTGCTGGGTGAGGGGGACACTGGGGGACACAAATCCCATGGGAACGTCATCGTGGTCACCATGAACTACAGGCTGGGGGTCCTGGGTGAGGGGGGACAGGGGGGACACAAATCCCATGGGAACGTCATCGTGGTCACCATGAACTCCAGGCTGGGGGTCCTGGGTGAGGGGAAGGGACAGGGGGACACAAATCCCATGGGAATGGCACTGTGGTCACCATGAACTACAGGCTGGGGGTCCTGGGTGAGGGGGGGACACAAATCCCATGGGAACGTCATGGTGGTCACCATGAACTACAGGCTGGGGGTCCTGGGTGAGGGGGGACACTGAGGGGACAGGGGGACACAAATCCCATAGGAACGTCATCGTGGTCACCATGAACTACAGGCTGGGGGTCCTGGGTGAGGGGGACAGGGGGACACAAATCCCATGGGAACGTCATCGTGGTCACCATGAACTACAGGCTGGGGGTCCTGGGTGAGGGGGACAGGGGGACAGGGGGGACAGGGGACACTGGGGGACACAAATCCCATGGGAACGTCATGGTGGTCACCATGAACTACAGGCTGGGGTCCTGGGTGAGGGGGACAGGGGGACAGGGGGACACAAATCCCATAGGAATGTCATCGTGGTCACCATGAACTACAGGCTGGGGGTCCTGGGTGAGGGGGGACAGGGGGACAGGGGGACGGGGACACAAATCCCATGGGAACGTCATCGTGGTCACCATGAACTACAGGCTGGGGTCCTGGGTGAGGGGGACACAAATCCCATGGGAATGGCACTGTGGTCACCATGAACTACAGGCTGGGGGTCCTGGGTGAGGGGGACAGGGGGGACACGGGGGGACACAATCCCATGGGAACGTCATGGTGGTCACCATGAACTACAGGCTGGGGGTCCTGGGTGAGGGGGACAGGGGGACAGGGGGGGACAGGGGGACACAAATCCCATGGGAACGTCATCGGTGGTCACCATGAACTACAGGCTGGGGGTCCTGGGTGAGGGGGACAGGGGGACAGGGGACATGGGAACGTCATCGTGGTCACCATGAACTACAGGCTGGGGGTCCTGGGTGAGGGGGACAGGGGGGACACCAGGGGACAGGGGGACACAAATCCCATGGGAGCGTCATCGTGGTCACCATGAACTCCAGGCTGGGGGTCCTGGGTGAGGGGGACAGGGGGACACAAATCCCATGGGAATGTCATGGTGGTCACCATGAACTACAGGCTGGGGTCCTGGGTGAGGGGGACAGGGGGACACAAATCCCACGGGAACGTCATCGTGGTCACCATGAACTACAGGCTGGGGTCCTGGGTGAGGGGGACAGGGGGACACTGAGGGGACAGGGGGACACTGGGGGACACAAATCCCATGGGAACGTCATCGTGGTCACCATGAACTCCAGGCTGGGGGTCCTGGGTGAGGGGGACAGGGGGACAGGGGGACAGGGGGGACAGGGGGACACAAATCCCATGGGAATGTCATCGTGGTCACCATGAACTCCAGGCTGGGGTCCTGGGTGAGGGGGGACAGGGGGACACAAATCCCATGGGAATGTCATTGTGGTCACCATGAACTCCAGGCTGGGGGTCCTGGGTGAGGGGGACACTGAGGGGACAGGGGGACACAGGAACGTCATGGTGGTCACCATGAACTACAGGCTGGGGGTCCTGGGTGAGGGGGACAGGGGGACAGGGGGGACATCAGGAATGTCATCGTGGTCACCATGAACTCCAGGCTAGGGTCCTGGGTGAGGGGGGACACAGGGGAGGGGTTGGGGACACCCTGGGGGAGGAGGGTGGGTTTGGGGGACCCCCCCACGTGGCAGAACATCCCCCCGGGTTTTAAAGGGGTTGGGGGACACGATGGAAGATGGGGCTGTGGATGGGGGAGGGGTCCTTGGGGACAGGGGGGACCCCAACGTGTCCCTGGTGTCCCCAACGTGTCCCTGATGTGTCCCCAACGTGTCCCTGGTGTCCCCAACGTGTCCCCAACATGTCCCTGATGTGTCCCTGGTGTCCCCAACGTGTCCCTGCCGTGTCCCTGCCGTGTCCCCAACATGTCCCTGGTGTCCCCAACATGTCCCTGACGTGTCCCTGATATCCCCACCGTGTCCCTGGTGTCCCTGACGTGTCCCTGATGTCCCTGCCATGTCCCTGACGTGTCCCTGCTGTGTCCCCAACGTGTCCCTGATGTGTCCCTGACGTGTCCCCTGATGTCCCTGACGTGTCCCCAACGTGTCCCTGGTGTCCCCAACGTGTCCCCCCAACGTGTCCCTGACGTGTCCCCAACATGTCCCTGCCGTGTCCCTGCCGTGTCCCCAACGTGTCCCCAACGTGTCCCTGATGTCCCTGACCTGTCCCTGGTGTCCCTGACGTGTCCCTGGTGTCCCCAACGTGTCCCCAACATGTCCCTGACGTGTCCCCAACGTGTCCCTGATGTCCCTGCCGTGTCCCCAACGTGTCCCTGGTGTCCCCAACATGTCCCTGTCGTGTCCCCAACGTGTCCTTGGTGTCCCCAACATGTCCCCAACATGTCCCTGCCGTGTCCCCAGGGTTCCTGAGCACGGGGGACCAGGCAGCCAAGGGCAATTACGGCCTCCTGGACCAGATCCAGGCTCTGCGGTGGCTCCACGAGAACGTGGGGCACTTCGGGGGGGACCCCCAGCGGATCACCATCTTCGGCTCCGGCGCCGGCGCCGCCTGCGTCAGCCTCCTCATCCTGTCCCACCACTCCGAAGGTACCCCCCCGGGACACCCCCAAAACCCAGCGGGGACCCCCCAAAAAACCCAGCAGGGACACCCCCAAAAATCCAGCAGGGACACCCTGAAACCCAGCAGGGACACCCTAAAACCCAGCGGGGACCCCCCCAAAACCCAGCGGGGACACCCTAAAACCCAGCAGGGATCACCCCAAAAATCCAACAGGAATCACCCCAAAAATTGAACAGGAATCACCCCCAAACCCAGCAGGGACCCCCCCAAAATCCAACAGGAATCACCCCAAAAATCCAACAGGAACCCCCCAAATCCAAGGGGAGCCACCCAGATCCCAGCGGGGGACACCCTAAAACCCAGCAGGGAACCCCCCAAAAATCCAGCAGGAATCACCTCAAAAATCCAACAGGAATCACCCCCAAATCCAACAGGAATCACCCCAAAACCCAGCAGGAATCACCCAGACCTCCCCCAGACCCTCTGAATCCAACAGGAACCCCCCCAAAACCCAACAGGAATCACCTCAAAACCCAGCGGGGACCCCCCCAAATCCCAGCAGGGACCACCCCCCCAAAATCCAACAGGAATCACCTCAAATCCCAGCAGGGACCCCCCCAAATCCCAGCGGGGACCCCCCCAAATCCCAGCGGGGACCTCCCAAACCCAAGAGGAATCACCCCCAAACCCAGCAGGGACCCCCCCAAAACCCAGCAGGGACCCCCCCAAAATCAAACAGGAATCACCCCAAAAACCCAGCAGGGACCCCCCCAAATCCAACAGGAATCACCCCAAAAACCCAACAGGAATCACCCCAAAAACCCAGCAGGGACCCCCCCAGATCCCAGCGGGGACCCCCCCAAATCCCAGCGGGGAACCCCCAAAATCCAACAGGAATCATCCAGACCCCCCCAGAGCCTCTGAATCCAACAGGGACCCCCCCAAAAATCCAGCAGGGACCCCCCCAAAAAACTCAGCAGGGACCCCCTCAAATCCCAGTGGGGACCCCCAAAATCCAACAGGAATCACCCCAAATCCCAGCAGGGACCCCCAAATCCCAGCAGGGACCCCCAAACCCAGCAGGGACCCCCAAACCCAGCAGGACCCCCCCAAATCCCAGCGGGGACCCCCCCAGATCCCAGCAGGGACCCCCCAAAATCCAACAGGAATCACCTCAAAACCCAGCAGGGACCCCCCAAAACCCAACAGGGACCCCCAAAACCCAGCAGGGACCCCCAAAAACTCAGCAGGGACCCCCAAATCCCAGCAGGGACCCCCCAGATCCCAGCGGGGACCCCCAAATCCCAGCGGGAACCCCAAAATCCAACAGGAATCACCCCCAAATCCCAGCGGGACCCCAAAAACCCAGCAGGGACCCCCTCAAATCCCAGCAGGGACCCCCCAAATCCCAGCGGGGAACCCCCCAAAATCCAACAGGGACCCCCCCAAAATCCAAGGGGAGCCACCCAGACCACCCCGGGGACCCCCCAAATCCATCAGGGAACCACCCGGATCCAACAGGGACTCCAAAATCCCCTCCCATCCCTGTGCCCCCAACTCCTGATGGGGTCCCCCTTGTCCCCTGTCCCCACCCCTGGCCATCCCCGTGTCCCCAATCCTCGAGCACCCCCTGTCCCCCCGACGTCCCCCATCCCCACGCAGGGCTGTTCCAGTGTTCCCCTGTCCCCCAATCCCCTCCCATCCCCTGTCCCCAATCCCTGATGGGGTCCCCCTTTGTCCCCCTGTCCTCCCCTGCCCCCTGACGCCCCCTGCCCCCTCAGGTCTGTTCCAGTGTCCCCGTGTCCCCAATCCCCTCCCACCCCCGTGTCCCCCTGTCCCCACCCTGACCATCCCTGTGTCCCCCACCCCTGATGTCCCCCGTCCCTCAGGTCTGTTCCAGTGTCCCCGTGTCCCCAATCCTCCCACCCCTGTGTCCCCTGTCCCCCACCCCCGGCCATCCCCTGTCCCCAATCCCTGAGCACCCCCACCCCACCCCTGGCCGTCCCCATGTCCCCAATCCCTGATGGGGTCCCCCCTTGTCCCCCTGTCCCCCACCCCCTCCCATCCCCCTGTCCCCACCCCTGAGCACCCCCTGTCCCCCCCAGCCCTGACATCCCCCGTCCCCCTCAGGGCTGTTCCAGTGTCCCCTGTCCCAATCCTCCTGTCCCCGTGTCCTCAATCCCTGAGCACCCCCATCCCACCCTCTCCCATCCCCTGTCCCCTGTCCCCAGTCCCTAATGGGGTCCCCTTGTCCCTGTGTCCCCAATCCCTGAGCACCCCCGTGTCCCGCCCCCTGACGTCCCCCCACTCCCCAGGGCTGTTCCAGTGTCCCCTGTCCCCCTGTCCCGCCCCTGACATCCCTCCATCCCCTCAGGGCTGTTCCAGTGTCCCTGTGTCCCCTAATCCCTGATGGGGTCCCCCTTTGTCCCCCTGTCCCCACCCCTGGCCATCCCCGTGTCCCCAATCCCTCCCACCCCCTGCCCCCTGACATCCCCCCACCCCTCAGGTCTGTTCCAATGTCCCCGTGTCCCCAATCCCTGATGGGGTCCCCCTTGCCCCCTGTCCCCCACCCTGGCCATCCCCCTGTCCCCTAATCCTCCTCGTCCCCTGTCCCACCCCTGACATCCCCCCGTCCCCACAGGGGCTGTTCCAGTGTCCCCCTGTCCCCAATCCCTGACGCCCCTCCCCTTTCCCCTCAGGGCTGTTCCAGTGTCCCCTTCGTCCCCCTGTCCTGTCCCCCTGACGTCCCCCCACCCCTCAGGTCTGTTCCAGTGTCCCCTGCCCCCTGTCCCCCTGTCCCCCCTCCCTGACATCCCCCTTCCCCAGGTCTGTTCCAGTGTCCCCAATCCCTAAGCACCCCCTGCCCCCTGACATCCCCCACCCCCGCAGGACTGTTCCAGGGTCCCCAGTCCCCTCCCACCCCCTGTCCCCCAGCCCTGACATCCCCTGTCCCCCTCAGGTCTGTTCCAGTGCCCCCTGTCCCCCTGCCCCCTGACACCCTCCCTTCCCCCAGGTCTGTTCCAGTGTCCCCTGTCCCTGCCCCTGACACCTCCTCTCCTGTCCCCCCAGGTCTGTTCCAGTGTCCCCCTGCCCCCTGCCCCTGACACCCCCTCCTTCCCCCAGGTCTGTTCCAGTGCCCCCTGTCCCCCCACCCCTGACCTCCCCTTCCCCGCAGGTCTGTTCCAGTGTCCCCCTGTCCCCCTGTCCTGTCCCCCTGACACCCCCCGTCCCCCAGGTCTGTTCCAGTGTCCCCTGCCCCCTGACGTCCCCCTGCCCCCTGACACCCCCCTGTCCCCCAGGTCTGTTCCAGTGTCCCCCTGTCCCCCAATCCCTGACACCCTCCCCTTCCCCTCAGGTCTGTTCCAGTGTCCCCTGCCCCCTGACGTCCCCCTGCCCCCTGTCCCCAATCCCTGACACTCCCTCTGCCCCCCAGGTCTGTTCCAGTGTCCCCTGCCTCCTGACATCCCCCCACCCCCAGGTCTGTTCCAGTGTCCCCTGCCCCCTGACGCTCCCCTCCCTTCCACCCCCAGGTCTGTTCCAGTGTCCCCTGCCCCCTGACATCCCCCTGTCCCCCCCAGGTCTGTTCCAGTGTCCCCCTGTCCCCCACCTGACACCCCCTGTCCCCCAGGTCTGTTCCAGTGTCCCCTGCCCCCTGACACCCCTCCCCTGTCCCCCCAGGTCTGTTCCAGTGCCCCCTGTCCCCCACCCCTGACTGTCCCCTGTCGCCCAATCCCTCCCACCCCCTGCCCCCTGACATCCCCCACCCCCCTCAGGGCTGTTCCAGTGTCCCCCTGTCCCCCACCCCTGGCCATCCCCATGCCCCCAATCCCCTCCCACCCCCTGTCCTGCCCCCTGACGCCCCCCTCCTGTCCCCCCAGGTCTGTTCCAGTGTCCCCTGCCCCCTGACGTCCCCTGCCCCCTGACACCCCCTCCCTGTCCCCCCAGGTCTGTTCCAGAAGGCCATCGCGCAGAGCGGCACGGCCATCGCCAGCTGGTCGGTGAACTACCAGCCCCTCAAGTACACGCGGCTGCTGGCGGCCAAGGTGGGCTGCGAGCGCGCCGACACCGGCGCCGCCGTCGAGTGCCTGCGGCGCCAGCCCTTCCGCGCCCTGGTGGACCAGGACGTGCAGCCCGCCCGCTACCACGTGGCCTTCGGGCCGGTGGTGGACGGCGACGTGGTGCCCGACGACCCCGAGATCCTGATGCAGCAGGGCGAGTTCCTCAACTACGACATCCTCATCGGCGTCAACCAGGGCGAGGGGCTCAAGTTCGTGGAGGACTCGCTGGAGAGCGAGGACGGCATCTCGGCCTCCTACTTCGACTTCACCGTGTCCAACTTCGTGGACAACCTGTACGGCTACCCCGAGGGCAAGGACGTGCTGCGGGAGACCATCAAGTTCATGTACACGGACTGGGCCGACCGCGACAACGGCGAGATGCGGCGCAAGACGCTGCTGGCGCTCTTCACCGACCACCAGTGGGTGGCCCCCGCCGTGGCCACGGCCAAGCTGCACGCCGAGTACCAGTCGCCCGTCTACTTCTACACCTTCTACCACCACTGCCAGACGGACGCCCGGCCCGAGTGGGCGGACGCGGCGCACGGCGACGAGATCCCCTACGTGTTCGGGGTGCCCATGGTGGGCGCCACCGACCTCTTCCCCTGCAACTTCTCCAAGAACGACGTCATGCTCAGCGCCGTCGTCATGACCTACTGGACCAACTTCGCCAAGACGGGGTGGGTGTGGGGGTGTGGGGTGGGGGGTGGGGCAGGGGGGGTTGGGGGTTGGGGAGGGGTTGGGGGTCCTTTGGGGGTTCTTTGGGTGGGGCCCTGGGTGGTTCTTTGGGTGTTTCTTTGGGTGGTTCCTTGGGTGGTTCTTTGGGTGGTTCTTTTGTTCTTCAGGTGGTTCTTTGGGTGTTTCTTTGGGTGGTTCCTTGGGTGGTTCCTTGGGTGGTTCCTTGGGTGGTTCCTTGGGTGGTTCTTTGGGTAGTTCTTTGGTTCTTCTGGTGGTTCTTTGGTTCCTTGGGTGGTTCTTTGGTTCTTTGGGTGGTTCTTTGGTTCTTTGGGTGGTTCTTTGGGTGTTTCTTCATGTGGTTCCTTGGGTGGTTCCTTGGGTAGTTCTTTGGTTCCTTGGGTGGTTCTTTGGTTCTTTGGGTGGCTCTTTTTGGAGGGTTCTTTGGGTGTTTCTTTGGGTGTTTCTTTGGGTGTTTCTTTGGGTGGTTCCTTGGGTGGTTCCTTGGGTGGTTCCTTGGGTGGTTCTT